TATCACAGAGCATATCTACCTGAAGAGAAGTCCTACAAAACCAAATGAAAAAACCATGTAGTTCAGTTCACATTCTGCTCTGCAAGAAGAACTAGACCTTTCCTTGGATACCACGGGCACAAAAGGCTTTCACTTCACTCTGTTACCAGAACCAGTGTGAGCACAATACTATCATTCCCTGCTAAGATTCCTGTGCCTCTTGCTCAGATGTGTCTGTTCCACCATAAAGTCACTGGATGAGGGTAAGAGCAATCAAAGACATTCAGATCCCTCAACTACACATTCCTGAACACTACACCAAGGGCAAAATCATGACATTAACTGGACTGGCTTTGTTATATCTTTGTTCCTTCTTTGGTCACCGGCACACAAAGCATGGCCACAATCCATAGAGTTCACAACATCATTAACTAAAGCTCATGGAGATCTCTTACCTACTGCTAGGAGGAAGGCATGAAGCTGCACTTACCAGAAACCTGGAGAAATTCAACAAGATGGCATTTCAAGGCTCACTGTGAGTTTCAGGGCACTCGCTGGAAGAGATGACCAAGAAAACCCATTTTTTTACTGGATCCTTTTTCATTGACCACCTGCACAATCTACATGGCATCCTATACTTACTTAAAGTCTCTAGTGATTCACAGAAGTAGTTGCAGGCCACGCTGTGACATCAGAACTCCTGTTAAAAACACATCAAGAACACCAATTTAGTCCATGTCAATTTGCACTACTAATGTGAGAAGTGAAGAGGTCAATGTGTTTGAGGGACCCACTAGCTTGACTACCTGGGACCTTGTGAAACTTTATAGATGAAGCCTGATAAAAGAAACCTTTCTCCTTTGGAGGAAACTTGGAGTACCTCCTCAATGTCACTGGTGGTGAAAACTTGGATATTAAGAAGAATCCCTGCCTCTCCAAGTACCACAGTGCGCATGGAAACTACCTTAGTGACCTGAAATCCTACATGGAAATGAGATGCTTTGAGTGCATACTGGGAACACACAGGAAACACCAAGCAAAAGACAAGGGTGCCAACATGGCTTCCTCAGTGTATATTCAGAAAATAAAGTGTCCCATACCTGAATGTGGTAACACTTCACAAGACCTGATGACCAGCAGGACCATCACAGAATACCTGATGACAAAAATACCAATAACATGTTAGGCTAAGCCACCTTTTTCATTTCACTAAGTAACATGAGCCCTTGAGAATCAGGTTATACCCACACATTAGGAACTGTTGCACAGTTGGCAATCTGGACTCTAAAAGTTGTTCTCTATCTCTATATATAGCTCCCTTAAGGAAATGCCAACAATACCATGCAAATATCATGTATTTCCTCATACACACTGTTCTGCAAGAAAACCTGAACGATTCATTGGCTATCAACACTGGCACAAGAGGCTTTCACTCCACCCTGATACTAGAACCAATATGAGGGAAACACTGTCATCACCAGACACTCCTCCTCTCTAGATTGCCATGCTTGCTGCTTAGAACATTGGTCCACAAGAATGTCACTGGACCAGGGGACAAAAGCAATCCCACGACACACATACCCCTCCACATTTATGTTCCTGCACCTCACAACAAGAGCAAACTCATGGGTGCTGCACTGGGTTTCCCCTTCTTCCCTGGCCTGGACACCCAAGAACAAAATACAGCCACAAAAATCTGCATGTTCCCCATTGTGACTTACTCAGGGCTATGGGCATCCTCTGAATGCTGCTATGATGGATGCCCACACACGGAACTAGAGATGCTCAATAGGAAGGCTCTCGTGGCTCTGCCATGAGGGAAGCCTGGACAGGTCACTGGAAAAGACACCCAACATAAACTATATTTTACTGCTCCCCTTTTCCTTGTTCACCTGCATAATCTCCACACCATCATATCATTGAGATTTGCTGGCCACTATCAGGTTCCTCCTACCCACCGATGTATTATTATTCCCCATACAACAGTACATGGATATTCCTGTGAAAATACTTCTGCTACCACTCCAGTGCCTATTATGGATCCATCTCATTACAGTGGGGTGTTAACACGTTTATTCCCCTGCTGACATTAGTAGAAAATGCACGAGATCTGTAGGCAGGGATGTCAGAACCTGATAATCCCCAAATAATCCCCAAAGGCATTGAGCACCACACTTAAGAAATAAAGAAACAACTAAAGTGTGCTTTCAATAGCTTAATCTATACCAGAATAAAGGCTCCAATGTTGTTTGTGACATCAGCTCTGAACACTACACTACACAAGATGTTCAGAGGATGAGCAACAGGATAACTGGAAACCCTCCTGAAATCCACCTGGATCCAGAAGATCATGTAGTTCCCAGGGTGCGATGCGGAGAGCTCTTACATGACATTACCTTGAGATTTCTCTCAATTTGCATTTCCATTCACTATGCTCTCTTGAAGGCTACCTGAAGAAAACAATGAGAAGAGGGTGTTGGTGTGGAGCCAATGATGATTTATGTGCAAAAAATTACCACTGAGTGACATGAAAAAATTAAATGGATGCTGGGATGATTACCAGTGAAACAGTCCTGTCCTCAGAGTCCTACCTCTCCTAATTGGACAACTGCAAATCCTCCTGTCCACATTGCTCCTTAAGCATGTTTCTAGTAAGAACAAAGTTCTCTTCAGATGTATCAGTGAGGTATACATTTGAATCCATTATTGCCCAGTGTCCTCTGATAAACACTAGCATGACCAAGGAATCCATCCCTTTCTGATCTGAGCACCTACATTTCATAGAAGCCTAGAAGGACAAGGGAAATCTTTGTCCCTTAGGCATGCAAGTAGAGGACACAGGCTGTGCCAGTGGGCTGGGCCTCATCACTGACTTGCCCAGATGTTTGTAGGGATCCCATCTGTATTTTGGGTGGCTATTTCTGACATCTGGATGCCTGTGAACATGACATTGGAGAAAAATGATTTATTCCACAACTCCTTCTACCAGGACAGGCGAGAACTGCCTATGTCACTGTGGGAAGGTGTGAGCAGCCCAACTGCTTAATGACCTGGCTCCTTTCAGAACTCCAAGGAGAAAGCCTGCCAAGAGAATTCTCTCTCCCTTGAAGCGCAATCAACAGAAGCTTCAAGCTGCAATATTCACAGTGATGGAGATCTGGAGGTTACAAAATCCCTGCCTCTCCTCTATAGCCATAAGCATGAAAGAGGCATTATGGGCCAGCTATCCTACATGAAAATGGCATGTGTCTTCCTACAATGTTCATCTGTGTAGAAGAATGTGCCTCAGAGCTGACACCAACTTTTCTGAACTAAGCACTTTCAAATCAAATAGGAGCCCAGGAATGCTGAGGGACTCATTCATCACTTACCTGTGCATGAATAGATAGTGGGTCTTGGTTGGTGGCCGAGGCCCAATGACACACTTATTGATGTTTCTAGAGATCTGCATGAGGACCTTGTTAAGTCTCAGAGAACTCGGGATTCCTGTGAAAAACACATCAAGGATGCTGTTTGGCCATGCCTCCTTGTACCTACATGTGTGAGAACTTAAGTGGTCAGTGTGATACCTGTCAGAGCCCGATTGCTTCACAACCTCGGTTCATGTGGAACTCAACATAAAAGATCTCATTCCCTTGAAGAGAAATCTTCAGGAGATCCAAGCGCCACTATCTATAGTGATAGAAACCTGGATATTAACAAGTATCCCTGCCTCTCCATATGCAAAAGCATGCATGCGAAATGTTCTGGACTATAACTCTAACATGCAAATGTGTTGTTTAGCAGTAATCTCTGAGGAGAGACTCTTGATTTACCTATGTTGTCACACATGAGACATGGCAGGGAAAAACACAAGGGTACCCAATCCAATGGCTCCCTTCCAACGTTCACATGAACAGATGATGTCCCATGGCTGAAGGTAACAACAACTCAGAAGATCTTTTCACCAACCTGGCCCATGCAAGGGGTAACTGGTGACAAACCATGGCAATGCCAGATTAGGCAGAGGCTTTCTCAATTTTGGGAAAAAAAAAATCAGGCCCTGAAACTGGGCTGAGTGCATGTTAGCACTGACTTGACCATCTGTAATCTTGACCAAAAAAAAAAAAAAAAAAAA